AATGAAAGTTGGAAGGAGCTGCTCTCATACCCCACTTCTTCCAGCCCTTCTTATTTTGCTGTCAGTTAAGAATCCTGAGCATAGTTGGTGGATCTCACTCTTGCCAACCCCAAGCTGTTTGTCCCGCTGTGGCTTCCCTCTTTATTCTCCATTGGGGCCTTTGCCCCTCAGCCAACTTGCAGCTCTCCAGGATGGCACCAGAGAGGATTGTACAGTTGGTTGAAAGCTGGTAATAAAACCAACCCTTGAAATTGCTTCCTTTGCAATTAATTGCGTTTTTATCTGCACTCTTCATATGGCAGACAAAGACAGATGGCAAGAAAACAAGCCAATGTGATAGTTATCAAGTTATCAAAAAAATAAAAAGAAGGAAAGAAGGACTGACTAACTCTTCAGGGGAGGAACAAGGCAGGAAGAAGTGTTGAAAGCCCCCACACTAGGGTGATATCAGAGTGGAGAGTTGGACCTTGAGCTGCTAATACATTTTGAGCTTATATGAGCAATGAGTTTGTGCTCACTAACTTACATTTACTGAGATGGGGAGGCAGTCTCAGACAGTTTAGAGTGATTCTAAACTGGAAGAATCATCTGCCTTGCATTCTTTTGTTAACCAGAATCTTTCCCCTCTTCCTTTCTAAAATGTCTACTCCTTCAATTTTTTCGCTAATATTTTGTACCAGGATTAGTAAAAAAAAAAAGAAACAAGAAACAAAAAACACACAACAGATCCAAACCCTTCCAAGCAGGTATCTGGGGAGGTCATGATAGAGGATTAGTAGATGAGCACTGCTCTCCTAAAACTAGTTCAGATATTCTTTTCTGCCCCCCTGATCATTCACCCTCTCTCTTTCTCTAGGTTTGGCACTGCTGGAGAAAGTTGTGCATGCTTTCTCTGATGTGACAGATAGTAATAATAGTTCTCAGTTCTGTGTTCTGACAGTCAAAAGAAACCTTGGAGCTGGAGAGACAGGGAGGGAAATAAATTCTATTTAGATGCTGCCACCGCTATGAATTTTATTAAAGGACATTGACTCATCCTATGCAGAAAGCCTTCTACTGGAGGCTGAGATAGTCACTGGGTGAAAAAAAAAAAAAGGCTTGGGTAGCACTCTCTATTTTGAGGAGGAAAACTTTGCTGTCAGACTCTGCAGGTTTAATGAACACATTAACTTGGATGGCTATGAGTTGTTTTCTCCTTTTCTTGGTGTGACATCAGGCTGGACAATTAAATTTTTAGAGAGGAAAGGTTTGAAGTAGCAGGTGGAGTATACAGAGCAGCTCTGTGTAGGGCTTAATATATAAGACCCTGCCTTCAAGTCCTTGGGAATTTAAATGTGCTGATATTTATAGTTTTGTTTGTTGGTTTTAGGTACAGGCCTCTAGCTATGGATCCATGGAAGTAAAACATCTTCCTCTGCTAAATTACCTTTGTCTATTCTTTGGGAAACCTGAGTGTTTTACTAGGTAGATCCATCACTAGGGAATTTGCATGATGTAAAGTTAATACTTTATTTTTCTCCATTGGTCATCTACTATGTGCAAGGCACTGTGTAGATACAAAAAGATGGAATTCCAGACACATAAAAACTTTGTGATCTCATCAGAGAGGGAAGGGATGATCTCAGATATTTTAGAATGAGTTTAGATAGGTAGGGATTTCTGTCTTGCATTATAAAAGGCTCTCTTGAAACACTACTAAGAAAGTTAAATATATGGACTATAGTCTGATAGCATTTCTTGTACCATAGTTCTTTGGAAATGAGGCCACTAGGAAATCTCAGTGTGTAGGAGAGGGTTCATAGAAAAGATGTCCTCTGATCTGGACCTAAAATAAAGACTGGCATTGTGATAGGCAAGCCTTGAAGCCACCTCTGCCAGAGTGGGTAGCACCAGGGAAGGCATGACAGGGGGCATGTGCCCAGGTGTGAATGGAAAGGGGAGAAGGCAAGTCCACTGACATGAGAGGGTACCTTCTGAGATAGGAAACTATAAGAAATGTCACTGAGCTGAATAAGAGAGGCTTGGTTTATTGGATTGTTTGATGTACCCACTGCTTGAGGGGCCTCTAGATGCTCACAAATAATAGAGCATCTCCTTGAAGAGGATAAAAACAAATATCATGGGACATACCTGACTGGTCCACAGGTTCTGCATCCAAGCCTAGAGGGATCAATTTAAAAAGACATAGAGGAAAATACACACACAAATACACACATAGATGCTGGCACCCAGCAATTCCTCACTGAGATGAATTCTATGTGAAGACAGAGATAGCAATCCCTTGGTGTAGCTGCAGGAGAGCTCAGAATTTATATATGATTTTCAGAATATATGTGAGTCTAGCCTTCACACAGAATTATTATTATTTCAAACCACCCTGATTCTCTTAGATTTGCATAAATCTTTGTATATAAATATAGATACTAACATACATTTATAAACTGCTATAGGCATACACAGTGGCATGATTTCTGTTCCCTTTGAACTCATAGAAAGCAGTGCAGCTCTGGGTTTTAAGTTTTAAAAAAAAGATGGTGCAAGAAGGGAGGAAGCCACAGACACTCAGGATCAAATGATTACTGTTCTAATCCAAGTTTGAATATTAAAACGCAACTGTTCGGGACATAGTGGGAAGCCAGACATGCACCCTCTGCCTGCTTGTCATCTGAATTAAGAGGGAGGATGTTGTCATGTCTTCTGTTACCTCTATGAGGGGAACTGTCTCCCCTTTTCTCCTCAGCACTCTTAAAATGAATCAAGCATGAAATGTACCCAGGAAGCCCCCCCCCAACCCAAGCACTGCAGGGCAGGGAAAAATAATAAAACTTGAAAGGAAAAGTCACAGATTCTTCCTGGCTGAATGTCCAAATACTGTGTAGCTGGGGCCAAGTGAGCTGCTCGCTTTGGTAGCCAAATACTTCAGCCTCTTTTTTGACTTCAGGATGTGTTTTGATCCAGTGTACACAGTGTGGTAGCAGGCTCTTCCAAGGGTCAGTAAATCCTCACTTGAGCTGACTTACTTCTTGGACATGCCTGGTACATCTGCAGCTGTGGTGAGTCACTTGGTGAGTCATTTGACCCTCCACTGAGCGCTGGGGCTGGAGAGGGTGGACAATCATGGTTCTCAGTACGCACTGACTCACCATCCATTCACTGTGGGATCTGGCACGCGCAGTGGTGGGTGACTGGGATGTGAGTGGGTTACAGACCAGGCACACAGCAGAACAGAGAGGTTCCAAAATGATATTTTCAAATCAGCTGGTCAAATGTCCATGGGAACTGGAATGTCTCGAGCAATAGGAATCTCCGGGCTGCCATCAGAGGACACTTCTATCAGCAAAAAAAAAAAAAAAAAAAAAAAAAATTAAAAAAAAAAAGCGCACACCCACAAATAAATGTTCCTGTAAAACCTTCCTGTAAAACCATCCTGGGGGTGGTACTGTGAAAGTTACTGGAGAGGAGCAGGAGTAGGGGTCAGCCAGCAATGAAGAACAGGATATAAGAGAAGAAAGACGTTTGGAGGGGAAGGAGTATGTGGAGGGTTAGACCCTGTCTCATGAGCAGTGTTTCTTTGTGGTTGCACTTGGAGAGCATTGTAGCAGTGTAGCAAATGGACTTGAAATCTCCCCAGCTGTATAACCATTGGTAAAATGGCCACAATAGCTTTATATATCACTGGGAGGGATGGTATGTGGATTAAATGAAGGAATGCATGAGGAGCACTTGAATTATAGTAAGGGCTTAGTCCATGTGGGCTGCTGTTAGAGCCTGAAGTTCCTCTACTCTCTGTTTAAAAAGCCATCACAGGCTCCTTCTGCCGGCAGGACTGGATTTTCTTCTCCCTAACTTGCCATTCAAAGCCTTTTCAAGTTGCCCTCACATTTTCATCTAAATTTTAGATTCAGTTCAGTTCAGTCACTCAGTTGTGTCCGACTCTTTGCAACTTCATGGACTGCAGCACACTAGACTTCCCTGTCCCTCATCAACTCTGAGAGTTTGCTCAAACTCACGTCCATCGAGTCAGTGATGCCATCCAACCATCTCATCCTCTGTCATCATCTTCTCTTCCTGCCTTCAGTTTCCCCAGCATCAGAGTCTTTTCCAATGAGTCAGTTCTTCACATCAGGTCACCAAAGTATTGGAGCTTCAGCTTCAGCATCAGTCCTTCCAATGAGTATTCAAGACTGATTTCCTTTAAGATGGACTGGTTTGATCTCCTTGCAGTCCAAGGGACTCTGAAGAGTCTTCTCCAACACCACAGTTCAAAAGCATCAATTCTTTGGTGCTCAGCTTTCTTTATAGTCCAACTCTCACATCCATACATGACTACTAGAAAAACCACACCTTTGACTACATGTACCTTTGATAAGCCACATTTATTCATATACCATCCCTGAATTTCTCACCTCTCACCCATGCTATTCCCTTTGTGAGTACTGATTGTCTGCTTGTCCTATCTTTGTCAATTTGAATTCTGCCATTCATTCACATCCATGGTGAATCACCATACATCTCAGAAACATCCCTAATTAATTTCTGAATCCTCTTCCTTTGAATTCCTTTATCTGGTGGTTGCATGCATTGCTCATTATTTTTTGTCAGATTTGGGTTATATTATTGGCTTTCTGAAAACCAGGTCTAGATTTTGGACTTCTTTGTATTTCAGACACCAATCTGCATATTCCAGGGCCAGTGGTACAGCTTACCAGGCAGAATGGATTATGAATCCCAAAATATTTTAATATTTAGTGGACATGTGGTTTCCAACATATCCCTTAATCTTCGTGAGCTTCAGTTTTCTCAACTATAAAATGGAGATATCAATGTCTTGCAGGGTCTGCATGGAGAATAGAGATGATACATGGGGCACTCATCTGGCATAGGAAGGGTGACTAGTAAATGGAAGATGTTATTATTATTATCATTAACCCAGTGAATCATGTTTTATGCATTCAGTGTACCATGACATCCTGGTGCTGAATATTTTGTCTTCTCTACAGTTATACAGCTCTGCTGAATTTGGGAGAAGGTGGCAGCTTATCCAGGAAGCGGTTGTACCAAACAGATTCTACTGGTAAGTCTCACTCTGTTTACTAGCATTTTGAGATATCACCTGGAAAAAATGAGCATTGGTATCTTCCCACCCAGAGCTCTCACATGAAGTCTGTTCTGTTTGGGATATACACACATTCCGTAGGGCAGGAGGTGATATTGGAGTGGTAAACCTGGTAAGGGAATGTTAAAGCAGTATCATAAATTATTTTTTTAAAATGAGATTAATGACAGCAAGAGCTATGCAAATGTTTTGTTTTATTTTGATGAAACTTTGAGACAGACACTTAAAAACATTTTAATAGTGATTTTTATTACTAAAAGTGTTATACACACATATAATGCATGTTCAAATTAAAGACTTTCAGTGTAAATAAGTAGATCTTAATTAGTCTAAAAGCAGATCCTCTTCATATTCCTGATTTTGACTCTTTTAAATATTCTCTTTATCATATGGGATGCAACCAATGTTTCTAGTTTCTCACTTCTCCTTCCATAAACATTCTATGGATACCTAAGCATGTGTAAATACAAAACATTCTAGTGTAATATTGATATTACTTATCAATCCCTTTTGAATTTACAACTAAATCATATAAAAGATGAGATTCTGTCTTACCCTAATTTATCTAACCTGTATAGGGAATAGCCATCTAGGTTGCTTCCAGATTTCTGCTGGTATAAACAGTGCTCTGTGGAGCTAGCTCAAACAAGAGTTTAAATATCCTTTGTTCACATCATTGAGAATTACTGGTGCAAAAACCTTTTAGAAGCCAATGAGCTTCCTGCAACTAGGACAATGAAAGTTGCCTCCCTTTTATTTCTCTTAAAATCACACTATCTTTCATCAGCCTTGCAACTTCCGTGACCTAATAGCTTCCCTCACCACTCCAATTCTCTCACTTCAAAGAGGAATGCATTTTTATTTTTCTCATTCTCAAACACTGCCCTGAGACTCCTGTGGGAGTTGAAAGCCAGAGAACAGATAAATCTCTTAACACTAGTGAAACTGCCTGAAAAAGTGAAAGACAAGTCATTTGCAAACAAACTGGCTCAAAGATAACACAAAGAGACTTCTCTATGGAAAGATACTTTTTTCTCCCATCACAGAGATATTGATAACTAAATAGGGTTTCTGTTGCATAGAAGTCACCTATCTCTTCACTGCTGCTTCCACTCAGGAATGACTGAAGCTTTGTTTTTGGCATCTAAATTGGCCTCTACTTCTCTGGGAAAACAGTTCTAACTGTCACTGAATCTCCCTTTTCTGATCAGCATTTCTTCTCTTTCTCACTTATTCATTTTGTTTCTTATTCATGAGACACTTTGCATCTCCATGTGCATCTCCTTATCAAGTCCCTTTTTGGAAAGAGGGTCCATATGTTTTGCTTTGTTTATTTTCATTTCCTCCTTTTTTGGGTGTTATATGTTCATAGAATAAATAATAATAGGCACAGAATAAATAAAGACTAAAATAAATTAATGTGGTTCCCCTTATTTAACCTGGAGATGGAGTCAATGCTTCACCAATGAGAAAGTATGAGAGACTGATCTTTCTTTAAGTCCTGCTTCCAAGTAACTGAAAACATTTGCACATGGACCAAGCAGTGGAAGATAAAAACTTCATGAAAGTCTGGAGAGAAGTTTGTTCCAACTGATTGAAACAAAGAAAAACATTGATTAAAAAAAAAAAAAAAAAAAGGAAAGTGAAATGAGAGAATTTCCTATGTTAAATGGTACATGGTACACAGTATTTTTCAGCTCACTGAGGGCTAATTTACACACATTTGGGGGATATAAACAATTCCATCATTGCTTTGGCTGGTAGTAATTGAAAACCCATTATCTCTTCTTGGGATGGGGGTCTTCCATCTGTGACCAAATGTTATTACATGAATATTATTATACAAATTTATTTATTATACAAATATTATACCAAGTCCTTGTAACCACATGTCATATCATTATCTTTATAAAAACTTTATACATTATCATATATAAATTCTAATTAATCTGTCTGTCGAGTGAAATAAATGATACCCCTCCTCTGCCTTTGGGAATAGAGACCTCTTCTTCATTCAAGCTCTGACACTGTGGTAGGCATTATTCAAACTTAAGCAATGTAATCCTCAGAACAATTTTATGAAGTAAGCCTTGCATTATCATCCCTAACAGAAAAGGAATCTTTGGCATGGGGAGGTTAAATAATTTAGCCAACGTCACCCAGCCAGAAAGCAGCAAAGCCAGGATTCAGGCAGAATAGCTTCAGAGACCATAATCTACTGAATTAGTGGACTCTGCCACTTCTTGGAACTTTTCTGGGCTGGAGCTATGAACTCTGGATATCTAGCCTGTTTTAGGCTCTTTTGGCCACCATGCCTGTGTGTGTGTCCTTCCAACTGGGCTTGGAAAGTGGCCCCTTTGCATTTTCCAGAGAAAGCATGAGACTTTGTAAATTACACAGTGCACATGACGGTTGATGAAATACATTAGTCTCTGGCCACATGGTCTGTATTTTCTGACTCTGAGGAACATCCTACGACTGGCAGGAAGGTGTCAATCCAAGCAATATTTGTTAGACTCTTGGAAATTAGTTTTTTTTTTAATTATATAAGAACTATTGGGCTATCTAGGATTATTCAGCAAGCTTAATTGAAAGAAGTTCTCTTTAATCATTTCTGCTTAAAGCCTGGCTGTGGGAGTATAGAGGGGACTGAGGGGAACTTTTATAGTGCCGGACTTATATGTGACGCTGGATAATAATATAGCATTTCCCATGGAGAAAAATTAAGATGAATTCATATCTTTTCCTCATCACCTAGTGCACTTAAGGCATATCTTTATTTTTGGTGACAGTAGCACTCCTACACCTGGAAGTAGTCAGTGGTAATTGTAAAGCAATTATGGAATGTAAGACCTTATCCCTATGCTCATGGTGGTTATTTGTAGTACCATCATACTGACATACATATGAACACTCTTCCAAGGAGTTTAAATTGCTTCCAAAATTGATTTGCCTGTTTAGGGCATCTTATAAATTGTATCTTAGCACAATATTGCCCTAAATAGAATAGGTGTATTTTTATTCAACTAACTGTTTTAATGGTCTTGTTCTTTACTACATCAGAAATCAATTATACTGGGAGGCAGTATAGCTTGGAATTTAAGGGGCTCAAAGATACTGAGGTATGAGTTCTAGCTTTGCCATTTACTAAGTAAGGTGTCATGGGTAAGTTTAGTTCTGTGTGCGTCTTTTTTTTTTTCCCTCTGTAAAGTGAAGATAATTAATACCTACTTAGTTAAATGAGATGTTTCTTGTGAATTGGTTATATGCCTGACACCTAAGAACCGTATTGAGTCCCTACTGGCTTACAGTAATATTAACTGATTTTTTACATCTCTTAGTTCTGTTTTTCCCCCAAGTTGGCTTCATTCTCAAGTTAGATTTCACTATTTATTATAGCAGTGATGGACATCATCAAATTTAGTCTTACAGTCTGACAGTTTGGAAACTCCATCAAACCAGTCTGTCTCTTTCCTCACATTTCCAGGGATTGGATCCAAGTAGTCTGGCTTGGATCAGAGCTATGTAAGATGGTTCATTACTAATGTAGGTCAGACACATATCTTTTCTGGGAATTGAAATAGGAGGTGGTATAGAGTCTCAGTCAAACTCCATAGCTCAAGGATGGAGGAGAGAAGATTCCTAAAAAGGAAGAAAAAAAGATTCTGTTATCATAAAATAAAAAAAATAGATTTTCATTAGGGAGAAAATAAGATGGGAGAGCTAGGTGTCAGAAAGATAATGTTACAGAATAGGGATATGTATTTGTTAAGTAACTACAGTGGTCCAGGTACGTGATTTTGTTGTTATTCCGTTGCTAACTCATGTCCAACTCTTTGCAACCCCATGGATCACAGCATGCCAAGCTTCCGTGTCCTTCACTGTCTCCTAGAGTTTGTTACCATTCATGTCCGTTGAGTTGGAGATGCTTTCTAACCATCTTCCTCTCTGCTGCCCTCTTCTTCTTCTGTCTTCAGTCTTTCCCTGCATCAGGGTCTTTCCCAATGAGTCATCTCTTTGCATCAGGTAACCAAAGTATTGGAGCTTCAGCATCAGTCTTTCCAATGAATGTTCATGGTTGATTTCCTTTAGGACTGAGTGGTTTGATCTCCTTTCAGTCCAAGGGACTCCCAAGAGTCTTCTCCAGCACCACAATTTGAAGGCATCAATTCTTCTGCTCTCAACTGTTTTTATGGTCCAACTCTCAAAACCATACATGACTGCTGGAAAAATCATAGTTTTGACTATATGGACCTTTGCTGGCAAATCGATGTCTCTGCTTTTTAATACACTCTCTAGGTTTGTCATAGCTTTCCTTCCAAGGAGCAAGCGTCTTTTAATTTTCATTGCTGCAGTCACCGTCTGCAGTAATTTTGGAGCCCAAGAAAATAAAATCTATCATTGCTTCCAGTTTTTTCCATCTATTTGCCATAAAGTGATGGGACTGGATGCCATGATCTTAGCTTTTTGAATGTTGAGTTTTAAGCCAGCTTTTTCACCCTCCTCTTTCACCCTCATCAAGAGTCTCTTTAGTTCCTTTTCATTTTCTGCCATTAGAGTGGTGTCATCTGTATCTCTGAGGTTGTTGATGTTTTTCCTGGCAATCTTTTTTCTAGCTTTTGATTCATCCAGCCAGACATTTCACATGATGTACTCTCTTATAAGTTAAATAAACAGAGTGACAATATACAGCCTTGTCATACTCCTTTCCCAGTTTTGACCCAGTCCATTGTTTCATGTAAGGTTCTAACTGTTGCTTCTTGACCTGCATACAGGTTTCTCAGGAGACAGGTAAGGTGGTCTGGTATTCCCATCTTTAAGAATTTTCCACAGTTTATTGTGATCCACATAGTCAGAGGCTTTAGCATAGTTACTGAAGCAGTGAAAGTCACTTAGTTGTGTTCGACTCTTTGTGACCCTGTGGACTGTACAGTCCATGGAATTCTCCAGGCCAGAAT